CGGCGGGCAGGCCCCGGCTCCCCTCGGGCCCGCGGTTCCGTGGGGCAGCCCCTCCGCGGGGCAGTGGCGGCGGCGCCAGGCCGCCTTTTTGGGGGAACGTGAGGCCTTCCGCGGGGCGCGATGGCCGAGGTCTGCCTTGTCAAGTTAAAAAGCGACGAGTTAGTCGTCTCTGGATCGGTTTTTCTCAAGTTTTAAGGTCGGGTTTTCACTGGGTAGAGACACGGGAATTAATTTCTTTTACGCACCGAAACTTGTGAGAGTTCGTAGTCAGAGGACCGACGGAGGAGCACAAACAAGAGCAGAGAAGTGCCATAGGTACGCTTTCCACGGCGGGGAGGTGCAAAGAAGAAACGTTGTCAGGACCTTCAGATGTTTTTGACATGAACTCCATTTCTGTCATTGGTATGGCTATGCAAAGCAAGCACAAACAGGCTGCAAAGTTGTCATCAGTGAGCTGAGCATGAACTACAAGAGGTTGTTTATTATGTATTTCTGGACAGACAAGCGCCAATTAATACGTCCCCTGAGGATACATAAAGCATCTATAAATTTTATCTTTATTATAGAAGTTACATGAGCTGCAACCTGGCTGGTATCTTTCCTGACAATTTTGTTGAAATAGCCTCCAGTAACTTGTCACCTTAGCATGTTTGGACTTTTAGTAGCTACATAGTGACAAGATTATTTGGCAATATACACAATTGCTAAGAAACCGTTGTGTATCGTAACTCTTAATGCATTTTAACAAGCCCTTCATCCCACATCAAACAAGCTCCTCAACTGTTACTGGAACATATCTGCTTTAATACAGATCTTTTTCCTAAGGTCATAAAAGATAAATAGTAATTTCTACTAAAGTGTTATCAGTCACTTGGCAGTGTTTTCATGTTCTGGTAGTCATTAAACATCATATCTCTGTTGTCAGAATTACATTCCCTAAAGTATTCAAATGTAAAGAACTTTTTTTCCCCCCACAACCCTTCTGTGCTAAACACACTGGTCTGAGGCATGGTGTAACAGCCCAGCACACAAAGCATTTCTAGATAAATACAGTTAGACTGCAGGCTACCACCGTCCATCAACAGTAAAATGGTAAGAGCGTTTTGTAAGAACAAACCAGGTCTTGCAGAACAGGATGGAGAGAGAACAGACAGAAAACAGCACTCTAATAAAATCCCAGATATTAGCTACCATTGCAGGACATCAAACAGGATGGGAACAGCTATGAGTCATGGAGCATACATCTGAAAAAAATGGGGACTTACCAAGTGGCCAAGATACCACATTGTGAGTTGTGTTCATTTCTTGGCATTCCTAAAATGTTTAAAAAAAAACCCTACCAGGTTTTGTGTCACACTTCTTCTTTAGCAAGTGGCAAGGCCTGTTCAATGAATCCTTGCAGATCTAACGGGTATCCAAAAGGAACCTCAGGGTACATTCACCACAAGATGCACTTTCTGCTATACTCTGCAAATACTTGACAGCTCCACTATTTCCCAAGTATACCATAGCATCTTCCCTAGTCAGTGCTCGGTTTGGGAAAATGGCCCTGACTCATGTTACACCCTCTACCCCCAAAGATAACCAGCCCAGGGAGATCATGATTTTTCCCTTTACATATTTCATTCAAATACACAAGACAATAGTACAAACCTTGCAAAGCCACACTGCAGGCAAACAGCACGATTAGCCAGGTAAAGGATCAACTACATTTTTGTCAAAGACACCACTGTTCATCAGGATTATAATGAATAAAATACCTGCAGGAGGTTAAAAGATGAGAAAGCATCCAAAGGACTTGGCAACCACAAACAGGCATATAATATAAACTGTACCACAGACGAAAAACCAGAGAGTGATTTTGCAGGAAATACTATGGATCCTGTTCACAGGAGCGTTTTGAAGGCTCTTTATTATACATATATGAAAACAGGGAATCCTACCGGGCAAGGAACTGTGCTAGTATTATGTAGTGAAATCTTGTGAAGATTTCATTATGCCCTTATAACAGAGTTTGAATGACTCTAGGAAGCACACAAGGAAAATGACCTAATTCAAATGCTTCAGGCTTTTAGTTACAACTGTTCATCTCATCAGAAAAGAAAGCCTTCAATAGCCGCTGGGGTGCTCTGAGCCATACAGATGCCATCGGAGAATCTGACCTGCATCAGAAAGTTGTGACATAACTGGGAGCCTGATCCTAATGATTCGACACCTTATCCACGGCAGATAGCATCATCCAAAAAAGCTTTCCATACCAGCTGTTTTTTTAACCCATGGTTAGCAGAGTCTAGGACCCACTGACTGCTCTAGGAGGTTGGGGCAGATTACTAATGAAAAGAAACCATAAAGTCGTTTGTCACACAACAGTCTGTGCCTTGACTGGAAAATTTTGACCACCACACATATAAAATTTGCGTATAATGCTCTGAAGCAGGGATTTGATATGAGAAGTTGTCTTTCTATAATCAAGTTAAAAGCCCACAAAACCACCAATTTGCATATGCTCAGTGGAGATCACTGGATCATCTTGTTGGAGATGGTAAAACCACAGGGACTAATTAAGTTTGCCTACAGGGAAAACTTACCACCACTGTTTCCAAACTTCAGTGTGCTTGACTTTGTAACAATGATAATCCGGTAGGAGGAAAATAAATAATAAAAAAAAAAAGGCTGAAAGGAGACAGGGAACGCAGCAATACACTTACTCAGAGCTCCAATAATACAAAACAGCATACAATTGCACGTGTTTTATAATCACACAGTGCAATACCAATCGAAAACAATTCCTTAGAAGCATAATTCCTGGAACTATTGAGATTGAATTTCAGGTAATCCATTTCTCTCCCCAAAACACCATGGGTGCTCTGCACTATCACAATTGTGTTTAAATAATATTTTAATTGGAGGTGAGTAGAGTCTTGACAACTAATTTGTTCATCAGTTTTGCTCTGTCTTCTGTTCATGAAGAGTTCTGAAAAACTGAAGAATTTTGCAGTGTATTGAAAGCTTTCATTTGTTCTGCAAACACAACAATATTATCCAGTATTTGTGCAGTGCTGACTAGTCACATGTACTGTTTTTGCTGTTATGTGAAGTGACCTATGCAGACTAACCCACACAGCATGACTTTCAAAGATTAGGCTCAAGTGTACAATTCAAAATTCACTTTCAGTGAATATTCATAAAGACTTGTTTTTATGAGTGCTTTTTCTCGTAAAACTACACCATTTGAATATTTGCAGGAAATTAACATAAAAGATCCATTTGCATAGCCAAGTCAATATTTATTTCAAATTTAACTGTCTAGCAAAATTATTTTTTCCAATATTTTGCAAATAATAATAAAACTACAATGCAAGTACATTTTAATAGCTGGAGGGGAGTTGATCATGACAACCCAGAAATAATTAACAACTTATGTTTTAAAGGGGAGGAAATTCTGTATAAGCCAGTGAAATAAATATTAGAGTAAAATTTTCTGAAAGCACAGGAGGAGGCAGCAAGTATTTTATAGAGCTGTTAAGAGCCTTTTAACAGCTTTAGAAGTACAGTACATCACATCACTTATTTTAGCACCAAAAACTTTCATTGTTACTAGAAAGTCAGAAATGAAAGACTTTTTTAGGCAACAAGTTTTACAGGCTTCCTTCACTTGAAAATACTGAGCTAGACCTCCACATGGTAAATCCGGTGAAAAGAAACCTCTGCAAGGACTTTGTCACACAGGTTTTCTTTTGCATGACCATAGTAGGCTGTAGTAATGGCCTGTCCAGGCAGGATGGTCCATCCTGTATAACTGAAGCACTGGGTTCTAATAATTGACTTTTTCTCTCCCCACAGCATCTGTTATTTCTTCCGCACCTCCCCCCACCCCAATCCATCATATACTTTTCTGCCAGTTCCCAGCACATGATCTGTCCAAGTAACAGCTTCTCTTTTCCTTTATTAGCCCATTCTCCAAAAAAACATTTTCTAATTCATCCTCTGGCCTTAACCCCTTCAGTACTTTATCCATACCTAATTAATCAATTCTCTGTTTTCATCAACTGATTATCAACAGCTCTCCAGGCTCTCAATCAAATCTCTGCCTCTATTCTTTATTTTCCTTTAGACCTTCTCCTTTAATCCCCCATTTCATGGCTCCTTAATCTATAGCTGCTTTACCAGGCAGCCCCTTGCATCCCCTTCTGCTTCATCAACATTAAGCAGCAACCATCCTGTTCAACCCTGAGCATTCAATTTGATCTCACCTGCCTTGCCCAAAGCCTTCTTTCACCACAGCGTGATTCCACATCTTCTTCCAGTTTTTCATTCTATCCCAAAGGAGGATCTTCCAGCTCTCCTTCTGCCTCCTCTGTTTGGGTTCAGTTACAGTTAGTATGTCTTCAGCACAGTCCTCAGGTAAAAGCAGAGCAAGTAGACTTTGACTTGGCATATAAATGTTGACAATCTGGAAAGTTACATTAGGATTTGTCGGACTTTCATATAGTTAGGCAATCTTCTGAAGACAGATGAACTGGGTATTCAGTTGAGGACTGCACCATACGACATGATCATAATCGTTTCCTCCTATAAATGTTCAACTTCTGCTTATTCTTCCTGAAAATTCCTATTGCATAGTTCCCAAAATACTTCACCTATCTTTATCAATTATTTTGCCAAACCCTTTATATCCTTTTCCTTCAGCTTCTAAGTTCACTTTTATTTCACAGCCCCTCCTGTTGCTTCTTGCAAAACACTACAGTAAATTCACCATACTTATTGCTAAGGA